ATCAGACTTCTGTCCTCACCTTGTGGTGTTTCTTTCACTTTCTCCTTGAGACCAAACAATGAACATTTTATCACAAATACAGGAAATACAAATGTCCCAGGAAATGTCCTGCAATCAATGAAATTTCAACATCTCATTGTTATAATAATGGAAAAATGCAATAGGTCTGAGGGGAAAAGCTACACATCTAGGAAATTATAAGCACTTGGAATTGGCATGAAGGATTTCTCTAGAAATGAACCCATTTTCATTTACATATGAAGAATTTAGCCTAAAACAGAGATTACTGACTATTTGAGGGGTTCTGAATAATGAAGAAAAAAGTTATCCTCTCATTTAATGATTAGTCTGGAAGAGAGAACTTTAGGACAGCAGCTTTATTGCTTTGCTGTCTGGAAAGACTAGTTACCACAGGGTAGCATATGTGAGCTTACTCTTCCTTCTTCTGAACACATAGGATTGTGCCATGGGGCACAGCATCAGTTTCTGGTTGATCGCTGGTCCCTGTTAAACCAGTCTCTGGACAAAGACCATGGCCCTGAGCTCATCCTGCTTATTAATTTATTCTGTTGTCCATTTCTATGTTTATTTAATTAATCAACATTTATTGAGCAGTGTTATGCATAAGACAATGTATCACCACGTCTGGATTCAACACTGAAAAAACAGAACAGGGAAGACATAACCTCTGCTCTCTCCTCCAATGTCCTCCAATGTCTCCCTGACAGATGGCCCCCTGTTTAAGATGAGCAATGTCCTCTAAATTAACATTTTCTTTCTCAGGTAGAAATTTCCAGTGACATTACTTAATATTAAATACTAATTAAAGATGTTATAGAACATATAATTACTGATTTTAGCAAAGGGGGGCAATTGGAATCAGAAAAGACTGAGTTTACAGATGATGTAGAAAACAAAAGGGTTTAATTCTACCTGAATTACTTCGCAATTCATAAACTTGGCAGGCGAATTTTTCCTTCCTTTTAAATATTTGTTTTTGTCAATAGTTTAGTTGAATTGTAAATTTACATGACAATTATTCCTATAATGGATAGAGCTTAGAGGATACTTGAAGGAAAGTTTATTCTTCTAATTTGTTAAATATTTTGGAAATCTTAATTACACTATAAATTTATTTAACAGATGTGTGCTGTCCAATACCATAGTTGTTGGCCACATGTGGCAACCGAGCACTGACAGTGTGGTAAGTCCAAACTGAACACACAATATACTATACAAAATTCACACCAGAGGGTTTTTTTTTTGGGGGGGGGAGAGGTTTTTGCTATAGGGCGTGTGCACTCGCCAGAAAGACAGAGACAGAGAAACAGAAAGCAAGAAATCACCCCACAGGGAGGATGGCCACGCCACAATCCCTTCTCCTCCATTCTCCTCTTGGGATCTTGGGCATGCACGCACATGCGCCTGGTATGAGTTTAAGTCACCGGGTTCAGGACTCGAACTGTGGTCGATTACATGGGAGTCCAGCGACATAGCCTTTACACCAACTGCTGGTCCCATCACACCAGATTTCTAAGAATTGGTCCAAAAATGCATGTAAACCATCTCAATTTTTGTACTTATGTGTTGAAATTCTACTTTAGTTATATTGGAAAAAATAAATTTTAGTAAAATAAATCAATTTTATTTTTTAATATGACTACTAGAAAATTTAAATTATATGTGGCTTATATCTGTGTTGGGGAGTGCTGTTATAAATAATATAATAGAAAGCTGCCAACACTTTCATAGATCTTAATTATTGTCTGTGGAAGACAAAATTAAAATGACTAATATCCTTAAAGGATTTGAAAAGCCACTCTTCTAAACCAGGGCAAGATAAACTGGGGATAAGTGCAACGAATTCGTCAAGTTCAAAGGAATGAACTGTGAATGTAGGGCAAGTAAAAATATGGAGGAAAGTATAGAGACCTCAGGTCCGCAAGTTTATCACTCAATGCCCCTGCAGAGTTGGCCTCTAAGTGTAATAAGAGGTGTAGGCATTCCAGGAAATAGTCTCTAAAACTATATGTGAAAATACACACCCATACACATCTATCTATCCATGCATATGAAAAACCCAGAATTTATGAGAGTAAAACATCACAGAAGAAGACTGTAATGTAAAAGATATAGTGCTCTGAGAAACTATTGAGAAATGAGTGTGCTGGGACCAGCAGGTGGTATGTTGGTTAAGGAACTGGACTCCCACATGGTCAACTATAATTTAAGACCCAGACTTGGAGGCTTCAAAATCATGCCAGGTATATATCCATGGGTTCCCAAAATTCCAAAAGAATGGAAGTGAAGGGACTGTGGCATGCCCATACCCCTGAGGGGTGATCTCTCAGTTTCCCTCTTTCTCTGTCTCTCTGGCAAGCAAACATGATCTATGGCAAAAACCTAAATAAAAAATGAGTGTGCCTTGCCCCAGAGAACCAGCCTCATAGCCCCTCCCTTCCTGCCTTCCATGTACCTGGGACTGATCTAAGAGCTGCCATCTCTCCATTCATTCACCCAGTCTACTGGGATTCAACTTTGGTACAATGCTTTCATTATAATTTAGGTGAATGGTTTTGAGAAGTCATTGCTTTTTGGTACTTTGGCTTCTCTGTTTTGTCCTTTTTGGCTCTTCCCTACTCCACTGCCTTAGTATCTGAAGTTCTCTCTCAGATCAACCATGTGGACTAGGTTAGGGCACCCTTCCTCACTCCTGCCATTTTCCAACCTGGCAGTTCACACCTCTTACAGTTACTGTTCCAATTACATCTTACATGGTTTAGTCAACTCAAAATTTAAACCAAAAGAACAGCCAACAACCACTCATATAATTATAAAGAAGGCAAAGTTTCAGGCAGATTTATTATAATATTTTATCAAAGAGAAGAATTGTTTTTCTCTACACTCAAGGAAATTAAAATAAATGTTGTAGCAAGAAAATCATTTTAAACAACGTTCATTATTTAACAGTAATTAAATTACAGTACTCCAACAAATAGCTATGGTGAAATCAGTTGTGATGCATTTGTATGGTAGAATACTCTACACTTAATGAAAATCATGCTTTTGAAAACTAATAACAAAGAAAAATTACACGATAAAATCAATAAAGATCCATATATACATACAATATGACCTGAATCTGTAAAATGAAATACCTAGGAAATGTCAATAGTGGCTACCTCCAAGTCATATTATAGATTTCTCCACATATAGTTTCTGTGTTTTGTGATTATTTTTACAATGAATATATATTATTCTTATCAGAAAAAATACATAAACTATTCATTTTCTAATGTCCAAGTTTAATAAGTTTAATTTTAAAAATAATACCACCAAACGCTTATCTTTCACAGAAAAAAGTCAGACCACCTGTAAAGAGGATAATACAGTACAGTATTTTATTATCTGCTGTGACCTTATGTCAGCAAGGTTACTTACGCCTGCTATGACACTTGCTTATCTTGCCTGATAAGATATTGACTTATCTATAAAACAACTCCAGTGCAATGGAAAGACTTTCCCGTCTTGAAAATCAGCAAGACTTATTTAAGGGGCATTAAAGGATGAATCCTGATTAGCCCTTTCTAGAAATCAGTAGCATATTTTCATATAAAAGTTCAAAGCAAAACTAGCTCAAAACTACTTCCACAGAAGTAGCAGCACAGCGTAAAATGGACCTCACAGATCAAAAAAAACACAAAACTTCCAGTGTTATCACACTAGATCGCTTTTGAACCTATTAACAAAATTTTAAACCATTAATCGAAATAAATTACATCACATTCTAAAGAAAGTACAGTCACTCTGCATAGAATAAGTTATTATTTCATCCTTATTCTCTCAGGAAAGGTCATTTTATTCATTCCAAGGTCTGTTCAAAATAAAAGAATGTATAATAAGTGAATCATAATGTTGCTCATAATAAGCACTCTTATTCCCTTTCCTCCGCCTAGAGCCACCGCAGTACACTGCATTTTACATCACTTTATGCTTCCTGAAGAGTCCAATACTTCATGATTCATGTTTATTTTTCTGCAAACATTCATCAGAAGTCCTCTATGTGTGAGCTTTCAACAAGGTACCAGGGAGACAAAACTCTCAAGAACCAGGGTTTAGAGATCTCTTCAAAACTCATGTGAAATATAAATTTTCCTAATGTGCCCTCTATTGTTAACCAGATATGTAAACGAATATTGGCAGCATTTGATAGAAACACTGCTTATAAAAGGAATAGGCCAACTTGGTGCCTTTTTCTTTTTTTTTGAGAGGTTTTTGCTATAGGGCGTGTGCGCTCACCAGACAGAGAGAGACAGAGAGACAGAAAGCGAGAAATCACCCCCCAGGGGGGATGACCACACCACAATCCCTTCTCCATTCTCCTCTCAGGATCTTGGGCACAAACACACACGTGCCCAGCGTGAGTTTTAAGCCACCGGGTCCAGGACGTGAACCGGGGTCGACCACATGGGAGTCCAGCAACATAGCCATTACACTAACTGCTGATCCCAAGTCTAGTGCTTTTTGTCAGCTCTATTATGTTCTGCAATGTTCTTTGTCATAGAAACTAGGTGCAATGGTTTGAGTGTCCCCCAAACATTTACGTGTTGGGATTTGGTTATGACAGGATTAAGAAGGTGAAAACTTAATCTGATTATGGTGTTGAAAGGGGATTTTGGGAGGACATTAGGACTAAAGTCTTCAGGGCAGAGCCTACATGATTGACTCCCTGTGGGTTTGTAAGACAGAGACCAATGGACACAGCCACTCTGCTCTTCTCTTTTCCTTGTGATGTGATTCCTCATGACTCTGTTCTTGTGATGTGATCTCTCAGGATTCAGCAAGACCTTCAAAGATGTGACCCCTAGACTTTGGACTTAACAACCATGCACTGGATAAACCTCTACTCTTTTTAAAACACCCAGTCAGAGGTATTTGCTGTTATTAGCAATAGGACAAAGTAGGATATCTGCTTTGACAAATGTGTGGACTTTAGACAGTTGAGAGCTGGTGATTCAGGACTTAATTCTTTTATTTTAATGCCTGCAATTATTACTTCAAGAAAAGCATTAAGTTCAGGAATGGGTATAAATACAAATATTTCTAATCATTCAAATTTCTGTACAATGCTGCATTCATATGGTTACCACTTTTCAGGCCTTTATTACAGAGTGTGCTACAGAAGTTAAGGTTCCTGTCAGCTTTTTAATCATCCAAAAAGTGAACAAATTCAGGCACTATGCATATTACCCATTTTGTAATCATCTATGCCGATTTCAAAACTTCTGACCTACACCACAAAAAGGTTTTCTAGAAAGCAGATGTATGAAATTTAGTATCACAATACAGAAGTGCAAATGGTTAACAGATGATATGTGTGCATAATTATATTTTTAAATGAATAGGAAAATGTTCAGACTATTTGTAACTTCTTCTGCCTTTCTTAGAGTAGTAAAAAATAAGAGAAAGAAAAATAATAAAAGCAAGAAATACAAAAGCTATGAAAGCCAGTAAAGCTTTTCGTGTGTGAAAAAAGCCGCATTCAGTGCACACAGTAAATTCTTCCGGACAAAATGTTCTCAGAGTTTCAGGGCCTGGAAAACCATTATTGTCAATAATTTTCCTGTAATTTTTCAGGGACGGTTTGGGCTCAAACTGATTTGCAGCATAGCGATAAAGGCCAAACTGTGGAGCTGTTCGATCACTAAATGAATAGGCAAAATAGCCACACAGATTGATACCATCCAATATGTAGGCTAGAAAAACAAAAGGACAGGAAAGTAGTTATTAAAATTTTGCATACGACACATCAATTTTACATAACTTCGGTGCATCAGCAAAACTATTAATGCCATTTAATACAACTTCAGACTCTACTAGATTTAATGAGAAAATACTTCTTTCATGCAAAGATAGATAGGTGAATATCAAGACAAATGTTGAGCACCATTTATCAGTTGGGTTTACATAATTAAATCTGATATGATGTGCTTACTGCAGAGGCATCAGAGATGAAAGACAAGAATGTGCACTTTTATAGGTCCAGGGAACGTGCTAGGGATTTCTGGTCTTCCACTTTTAGTTAAACTATTTATCTCTGGGGAAAATACTATTAATAGCTACTTCTCAGGTTGTTTAAGTCTGGCAAGGAATGGATAACTCTTTGTTCTGAGGATGACGGTCTGTGTTTATGTTGAAGAGTTTCTATTGGGTGTTCATGACCTCTAGTGACATAAGCTTCAAGAGATTGCTGTTCCAAAGGCTCCTTACCTTTCAGTGCCTCATTTATGTAATTTTGTATATAATACTCTCTCAATTTGTCTTGCTCGGCCTGAGGATCATCATCAATTCCATTAGCTATTATATACAAGGGGATGTCGCCATATTTGAACTTCAGCCAGTTCAGCACTTTACGTAAGCCCCAGGGCACCACTGCCACCTGGTTGGGAGAGTTGAGCCATGTAATATCAGTCATCTCTTGTACTTCTAGGTAATCATTATATTTTACTGGATCTTCTTTTTCCCAGTCTACAAGGATGGTAGTGTAGTGGCTTATTGCCAAAAAGTCGAAGGAACCCTGAATTAGCTTTTTTTCCTGTTCAGTGAAATAAGGTAGAAGAAAATTGTTTCTTTGGTTCAGCCAGTCTCTCATCACAGATGGATAATCTCCAGACCCAAAAATGGGCTCAGCCAGCCAGCCAACGTCAAATTCCAAAACTCTCTCAGCCACTTCTTTGTCCTTTCGAGAGAAAGGGCAGGCTGGTTCTATCCAATCAGCCTGCAAGGCTATGGATATTTTACCTTTCTGAGCTTGCCTAAACTTGTCATCATACTCATGCCAAGCTAAAGCATGGGCCTTCAGAAGATTATGCCCTGCACTGTATGTCATGTTCCGTGTATATGGCTCATTCATTGTGATCCAAAACTTGACATGATGGCCGAGCTCTTTAAAGCACAGTCTGGCATACTCGACAAAAGCCAGGGCAGTGTGTGGGTTCTCCCAGGCTCCATGCTTGGCCAGGAGGCGAGGCAGACCTTGGTGCGGTGCTGCTGGTTGCCACAGAGCCACCACAGGAGTGATGTTGACATGGACCAGCTCACTGACCACACAGCGATAATAGTGCAGGATGGTGTGATTCACCTGGGACTGGTTACCCAGAGGAAGGATCAGGGCCCAGTCCAGAGAGAAGCGGAAATGTGTAACGTGCATATCCAGGAGTAAGGCAATCTGGGGCCGAATGGCAGCAAAGTCAACACAGTAAGTTTTCCTCTTCTTGGTTACAAGTCCATCCACCTTAATGAGCCTCTTACTGTGGTGGACATCCCATACATACACATTGGGATCGGTAAACTGAGACAGAGTGGTGTCTACCTACCAAGAGAAGAAATATTAGCTTCACCTGGACAATTCTGAAAAAGGAACTCAATGTAATTATTTTAACAAATAGCATCCAACATTAGTACAAAGAGGAACATGTCCAGCTGGGAGTTTAAACTATTTTTCATAAAGTGCAGTTCCTGAGGAAGAAAATATTTCACTCTCTTATATGTACATTTGCTTTACCCATAATTCTCTCCAGCCCTCAAACTATTTCTTTAATGTAAAAAAAAAAAAAATCTGATTTTGATGGGTCATTTCAGGTGACAAACACTAACGATTCTCACACATTACTGTTGTGTTTTATGCAAGCAGAGTATTCAGGATTTTTTTTTTTCTTTTAAGAAGTCACTAATGGTGAGACTTAAAAAAAGATGTATTTATTTCATTTTACTTTATTTTCTAGTTTGACAAGAGAGACACAGAGAGAAATAGAAAGGGACAGTGAGAAAGCAAGCTGCCAGGTCTGGAACTCAAATCACAGTCAGCCATGTGAGAGTCTAGCACCTTAACTATCATGTCACCTGCCAGCCCCAATGGTGAGACTTTTAAATTTTTTTTTTAAGTATAAACTTAAAACTTGAGTGAGTTAAGAGTCAGAAAATGAAATTATGTTTATAATTAAGTTGTATTTCTTAAAATTACAATCTAAATAGAGTTTGGCTCTTGGTAGGGGAGATGCTAAATAAATATAATTGTTGTCTTTTATTGGCTTTAATATCAATGATACAATTTAACAAATTCAATCTGATTGATATAGAATCCTAAGAGACAATGCAGAAATAAGAAACATTGGAGGAGTGGCTGCCTCCACCTTCAGAACTGGAGCAGAGGGAAAGCAGGGCCACCTGGTCCTAGATTACCATCATAGCCTCCCTGCCATTCAG